TCTGTTCATAAAGTTTAAAACCATAACCTTCACTCAGGAGCAAAAATCTGTTTTTAAAAGATATAATAATGTGCCACCCATCGTGATGTTCATCATTATATACGTTTTGCCATATGGCTCAGACCTACTCAGACCGTACTTCCATTTGAGAAGCATATTTAAGGTGTGAGAACTGCCCAAATAAATCATATATTTTTTATGAGCCTTGTCACTTTCTGTGGAGCATGTATTCCAATGATGGAATTGACAAGAGTGGTATTATGACCAGTGTTGTGTGACTGTGAAGTCGCTGAGGTGGCGTCTGTGTGTCTATTTGACACATCTCCACTTCTGACTTACTACCAACACTCTCATCTCTGCACAGTCTTGATTTTATTAGGAAACTGTGTTTCTTTGTCATTGACACTCCCCTTCTGTTTTCTACAGCCAGTGAACAATGCTGACTTTATCATTCCAGTGGAAATCGATGGAACAGTTCACCAGGTATGCACTTTTCATCAACTGACTCGTAGCTTCAGCTGCTAAAAAATGTGTTTTTAGCAGGATTGATTACGAGCACTTAACATTACTGCATAAACACACACAGTAACCAGGGTATGGCCCAAACACCACTTACATGACTTTAGAATTCAAAAATCTTACACAGATCCGGTTTGTACTGGAAACACCGTGCTAGCGCCTTGACAGTGCTGCAGCCTTTTCTGTTGATGGCTTCGAGCAGCAGGTGGCTATTTCAGTGGCCTGACGAAATGACGAAACCCTGGCAGGGTTCTCAGAAACCACCGGCCATCAATCAGTCTGCGGCGCATGTTGTGCCCTGCTCATTGGTGCCGGGGGACAGCAGTGGCTGTCAATGGTAACTGCAATCTGTTGTGCTGCGGCCTCCCAGAAGACAGAGGAGCTTTGATGCCCAGAGGGCCTGGGTCTGGTTCAAGTAATCCAGGATAGGCTTGTTTTAGTGGGGACAGCCTATTCAGGACGACTTGGTTCAGAAACAAGGCCGCCAGCAACTTAGTGGAAGTAGATCTAAAAACTGTTTTCAAACAGTTTTAATTTGGACATTACAACTTATATTTAATTAATGTTGCAATATACAATTTTAAACAGAAGAAGTGGGTCACACTATCCACTATATTTATACGTTCATGCACACGCCTTCATTGTAATGTTTTGTGCAGATACATTTCTTGTCTTCTCAATACTCTAGGCCTGTAATAAGATTAGATCTTCTCTTATTCATACATTCCCCCTCACTTCTTTGTTATGCTGATTATATTTCTAACTAGAATGGCAGTAGTGAAAACCTCTGCCAAGTTCCAACAGCCTCAAACATAATTGTTGATGCCTCTACCTCCAACACACGATAGGTGCAAAAATGAAAAAACAAAAACAATTGATCTACGCAGCAGAGTTAATGCATCACTTCCTGTCTCTGTCTGTTGCACCCGGCATGTGTGAAAGGCAGACTCTGGATAAATCCAGTTCTCAGGATTTTACCCGGAGCACATGTCTGAAAACAGCTTTATAGATATTTTTTTTTTATCAAGGTCCATGCTCTGTTCTGGGAAATGTGTATAAAAAGGTCAAGAAATATCCTATTTCGTGATCCTCACATACATTTCAGTAGGTTTAGCAAATTCCTGCCAAAAGACAGAGGTAGCAATGACACACAACACGAGGTAATAACTGAGGCATGTTCAACACCAACTGTGCTTTTCATCTCCTGTGGCTTTGTGTCTCCACCCAGGTGTATGTGCTGAAGAGACCCCACGTGGACGAATTCCTCAAGAGGATGGGAGAATTGTTTGAGTGCGTTTTGTTCACCGCAAGTTTAGCCAAGGTCAGACTTCTGCTGTGTGTCAGTTTGTCAGAGTGACTGGAGGCTGTGAGGCACATGACGCATGAAAACTGTTGTTGGCAAATCTATCCATACTTGTTGTGTAAAGCGACACCTCTTGCTTCATTATACCTAGAATTACTGGAAGCCCAGGCTCGTGCGTGTGTGTTTGTTGTTTTTCACTTCCACATATGCCCTGACACATAAAGAGATATTTACGATACCTGTCAGTGAATCAACGTTTTATCCTTAACATTTACTTCAAACTGTGTCGGCCTCAGCCTGTACGGATCTGGTGTCATTACTCACCCACTTTTAGTTGCAGCGTATGTCCACAGCACATGACGCTATCATGGGAACATTTTGAGAAATCGAATGCTGCTCTTCCGCTCGTCACGTTTGCAAGCTTAAATGTTGCAGATATCACTTCTCTATGGCTGACACATATGTCAGTGCTCATAAGAGGCAGTGAAACCTGATGCAGGTTGGTTGTTGCTATATGTAGTCTATAACGTTAAGCATGTCTGATAGTGTGTCTTTAAATACGTGTTCTTTATTTTGTCATTTGGCTCTTTAAAGGTACAGTGTGTAGAATTGTGTGATATCTAGTGTTGAAGTTGCATGTTGCAGCTGAACACCCCTCACCTCACCCACTCCTTCCAAACATGAAAAAGAAACTGTGGTAGCCTTTAATTGTCATAAAAACTCAAAAAGGGGTTTAGTTTGTCCAGTCTGGACTAATGTAAAAAACATGGATGGCCTCTGTCGATTTAAATATAAAGTTTGAATAAAATTTTGATATAAAGGGCCTTTTCTGGGGTAAAGAAAACTACAACTCATACAATTTAGATGAAACGAACTAGTGAAAACATCATGAGGATTATTCTACATTAAATTTCTGCCAATAGATCCCTTTTACCTAAATCTTACAAACTGGACCTTTAAATTTGATAGATGATTTTAAAAACAGCTTCTGAAATAAATAATAACGGAATATTGTACAATATACATTAAGCTCCATTTCAGTTAACTGTGTTTGTTTTGTTGACTTTGAGTGGAAAGTATTGTGTGTGGTTTTTATCTATCATGCACAGTAATGTGTTATATTGTGATATATTATGAAGGCTTTGATACAATTTAAATGAACATACCTGTATCCGGTTGATGTTAAACAATTAATATACATTAATCTTTTTTTTTTTTTTCTTTAGTATGCAGATCCCGTGTCCGACCTATTGGACAAATGGGGGGCCTTTAGGAGCCGTCTCTTCCGGGAGTCCTGCGTCTTCCACAAAGGGAACTATGTAAAAGACCTGAGCCGTTTAGGCAGAGACCTTAACAAGGTCATCATCATCGACAACTCTCCAGCCTCCTACGTCTTCCATCCCGACAATGCTGTACGCTTTTCATATTTAGCTTCTGCAATATACTGAGATACAGTGTTAATGTGATTAAGAGACATGTTTTAGTTTCCTGTCATTCACTTCTACAGTGTAAAATATTACTACTCTGTTTTTAAATGATATTGAGTGCCATGGAGCTACTGAAAAATCCTTCTAATTCCACATTGTCCTGTTTTTTCAAAGGTTCCTGTCGTATCCTGGTTTGACGACATGTCAGACACTGAGCTGCTCGATCTCCTCCCTTTCTTTGAGAGACTAAGCACAATGGATGACGTCTATGATATTCTGAGGCAGGAGAGGACTTCAAGTTAACAGATGCAGGGCACTCAGGTGACAACGATCACCAGTGGCTGTCGTCACGGGGCCACGGAGGCTGGTGGGCCACAGGTCCTACACCGCCTCCCACTACAAGGACCATAATGCAAAAAAACTATCTGTCATTTAATCGAATATTCTTATTGTATAGTGCATTTAAAAGTGACAGTAATCTTTTAGCTGGGTTCAGTGACAGTTATGTAAATCCCGGTGACAGATTTTCTTTTTTTCAATTAAATGTAGACTTAATATAAGATTAAATGACTTCTGCAGAAATCATTTGCAGTGCAGCTAGAGCATTATTGTTGTGACAGCAGTGGTATATGTTCATGATCAGTCACGACATTAAAACCAGTTGCATGTTTGTATGTTGAGGCTGATCACTGTCAGTGTGCCATTCAGTGCCATTCAAACTACATCACTCATTTACAATTCAGTACAATGTAACATTTATATAGAACAGTTCATTGGAGACAGTCCCTTGAATCTAATTAAACTTATTTTCGCCAAATGTTTACGTACGTAAAGAACAGTTAAATAATTTTACAAAATATTTTGTAGCACATTTCACTAAAATGCACATTTTCACACGTGCCAAACACTGTATGTCTTTAAAAAGATTCAATTGGAATTAGGAATTTGGTTTTAAAACAATATTTTTTCCTATAAGATTGAAAAGATCCACAAACCAATAATCATGAGAAAGCACGTACTAAAGTCT